CACGGCCCAGGGAGGGGGGGGGTCTTTCACCTTTCTTTTTGTTAGCTTTAGGTTTTAGTTTTTCTATTTTCTATTTTCTCTTTTGTTTTGTTTTCTGTTTTCTTTTAACTTTTAACAGATTTTAGTTTTGTAAAATATTTTAGTAGTACCTAAATTAGCTCTACCAATTACACCACTGCCAAAAAGTTTACACCTCAAATAAAATGGTTTAAAATTTTATAATTAATAAAAGGCATTTAACTAATTGTTTTTGCTACTGTTTTTAGTTTAGTGCATTTAATTATTTTATAAAAATGTGGCTTCTCCACCATAATTACCTAGGCAATATTTTGTTCACTCCGAACATTTTAGTTTTAATAATTGAAAACTTTTATTGTTTGACTGATTTTGAATTTGAATTTGAATCGGTTTCAAACTATCTCGAGATTAGCAACTATAATCAAGGTGACGTGGCATCACTAGCAGAGGAGCACTATAGCTTAATTACCTGGGCGTCACATTGATGCTGAGAAGCTGATGACCGAGGGGCCTCCGGAGGGGAAGGAGCACCGCAAGCCCGAACTATATTATGATGGCGTCCTGAAAGGCGCCCGCCTTGTGTCCGAGGAATGCATGGAAGACATTATTTTTCCCTCAAAGCAATTGTGCTATACTTTGTATGGCAAAACAGAGTCACTTATATGTAGGTGCTTGTTATGTGTAAATTTTATTCCTGTGCGGCTGTTTAATATGTTAGTCTTGAGAGTTGGCCAGTCGTCAGCTTCTGCCCCCACGTAGGAACTACGGGGGTGTTCGGGGTACACCTGAACACTCTTTGTCCCATTCTTGGGTCCATGAAGGAGGTGTTCAGCACAGCGAACCAGGCAGTCGGACTATAAGGCTTTATTACTCTCACTTAGCCATAGGATTTCGAGTATGGGCGGCGCAGCCCCTGGTGTTCGGAAGACCAAACGCGGGGACCGATCCTTCGCACGCTGCATTTTATTATGCCATTATGCGGAATAAATCCTTAAAGATTTGACAACCTCTCGAACAGCTGACCAGCTCTCGCCTTATCATGACAGTCGGTTTTCGGCTTTCTCTACTGAGGTGTTCGTCCAGCAGAACCGGGACACAATCGCAGTAGTTCTCCCAGCACTACCTTAGCCGATATTGTGGACCGTAAGGTACCAAAACATGGGAGCCGGGCAAACCCAACCAATGACCCAAGACATGATTCGGAGCTGATGCATATAATGCAATAAGTTCGGGGTGTCGAACGACCAAGAAGGTGTTCGGACTTTAGACGCCATAGTACGGGTGCAAGGAAGCCCGTGACGTTTTGAAGGCACAACAAGATGTTCGGATGCCGTTATGACAAAATGTCGTTAAAAATAGCAGGTAAGCATCAAATGACTCCGCATGCTGTATTTAAGTAATACGTCTATGCGTATGGGTACGGTGCATGTTATAAAAGAGAGGCATGACGGCAGAACCTGTTGGGGCCGGAAGGTGGTTGGTTGTGCGCGGGTCCGGAGGAATATCCGGATTGTGTTCAGGTGGGGTGGACATCCCCCCTGTATGCGTCCGAGCTGATTCCAAGCCGCCGGTCCAGTTGTGCGCGAGGGTGAACCTGCAAATAGTGCTTAAGAGGCATGTGTGAGCATTGGCTGGGCCGTGGATGTGGTCCGTCCAGCATATGCTGAAGGGTCTGTATGAGCTATTATTAGGTTGGGGTATCCTGAAGTAGTTCGGACTCCCTTGTCGGTGTCCGGGAGTTCGGCTGTCGAATCTAAGTTCGATTGAGAAAAAACCGCGACTCGCTGCTTCAGTGGTGAGCGTAGCCGAATATTCTTCGGCGCCGAGGCGAAGCTCGGTCTTGGCCACATTTGTGACTTCGTCACGTGGGTCTTGGGTGGTAATGTGTCAAGTCGCAGTGTATCCTGGCGGTGCTGAGTAGCTCCTGCCTAGGGGTGTTAGACCGCAAGTGGGTATGACACTTTTGGCTATCCGAAGACTAGCTCCTGGGTGGCGGGGCCTGGATGGCCATCACGCCTATTTATGATACTCTATAATGAGTTATTTGGTCGGTATGATCCTCGAGTTTCTGGCCCCTGGACTTGATGATCCGGGCTTCTTCATGCTTCTTCCGGTGTCGGCCTGCCGATTTGTTTAAAGACCCAGCATTCTCTATTAGTATGATTGGCTGCTGCTCCTGGGGTACCATGGATTTGACACGGGCGGTCAAGTATGCGGTTCAAGCTGGAGGGGCCCGGATTAAGATGTTGAAGTCTCTTCTCCCTCTCAACGGTTTGAGGGCTACGGGCTTCTGTGTTGATTGCCGTTCCCCGGGCGCCATTCTTTGTCTTGGGACGCTTATATTTGTTACACCAAGGTTTGTAGACTCCGTTTCTGTCCGCTGATGCGTCTGGGGTACTTTTTATGTTGTTGTTTGGTATTAACGTTGGTCTTGTGCACAACCCCTTGTCGTAGTGTGCTGTCGGCCGTGTGTAGGCCGGCGTTTGATTTTCAGTGCCGCCTCCTCGAATTGAGGTAGTAACATGAGCTTTTGGTGGTATTTTGTTCGATACGTGAGTCCGTATTCTTCGGCTGCCCGGGCCTTAGTCCGTTTGTCTGTGAGCAGATCTTGGTCCGCTTGGAGCTGCTGCTGCTCTTTCTTCTTCATGCTTCTTGCAGTGGCTATAAGCCTGCGCTTGAAGCGCTCCTGCTCTATGCGATCCTCTGGTACGCCGAATTCGTCGTCACCGAGGCTCACCTCGTATTCGGAGGGAGGCATATAATTATCGTCCTCCAAGTATCCGTCCGTCGCCTGTTCGTCTGGGCTAGCCAGCCCGTGTTCCTGTTCAGCTTGCTTGAAGGTGGGTTGATCAGGATCGTACTCCTCTTCGGCACCATCTGGATTTTCTCCTCCAGTGCCGGTATTGTTGTGGCGAGGCTTGGAGCGGCGCCGATGACGCCTGTATTTTGCTTTCTTCCCCGAGGGGTTATCTTCCGTTGCCTCATCGCCATTGTTTTCTTTGGGAGTATCCACCATGTATATGTCATATGAAGAGGTGGCAGTCCAGCGCCCTATGGGCGGTGGTTCCTGTTCTTCTCCTGCATCGTCGTCTATACCGTCGATGTCTTCAGAGTCGAAGTTAAGCACGTCGGTCAAGTCATCGACCGTGGCTATTAAGTGGGTAGTGGGTGGGAAACGAATTTCTTCGTCGCCAGCTTCCCACTCGAGCCGGACATAGTTCGGCCAGGAGTCTCCTGACAGAGAGAGAGACTTTAAAGAATCTAGCACGTCTCCGAAGGGTGAGTGCTGAAAGATATCCACGGCGGTAAACTCCATGACTGGAGCCCGGTTAGATTCAACGGGTACGAGTGCGCGCGGTCCGGAACACACTGCCGGAGATGAGTCCGGGGGTCCGGAGACACAGATCCTTTTAGGAGAGGAGTCTGTGTTCGGCTCCAACGCCGAGGAGTGTGCGGCCTCCGGGGCGGGGTCCATCCACCCGTCCTTGGAAGGCACGACCCGATGTGGAGCGAGGTCCGGAGCGGTAGCAGGTGCGATGTTTCGTATACTGTCCGACTGCCGATCTAGGTCGGGCATGTCGTGATTGTTCGGCGCTCCTGACACAAGTCCGAATCCATCGAAGATCAAGTCTCCGCGGATGTCGGTGGTGTAGTTTAGGTTTCCAAACCTGACCTGGTGGCCGGGGGCGTAGCTATCGATCTGCTCCAGATGGCCAAGCGAATTGGCCCGCAGTGCAAAGCCGCCGAACACGAAGATCTGTCCGGGAAGAAAAGTCTCGCCCCAGACATCGTGGTTGAAGGTTGGAGAAGCCATCTAACCTTGTAGCGACGACACAGAGGAACTCTCAATGAAAGCACCAATGTCGGTGTCAAAACCGGCGGATCTCGGGTAGGGGGTCCCGAACTATGCGTCTAAGGCTAATGGCAACAGGAGACAAGGGACACGATATTTTACCCAGGTTCGGGCCCTCTTGATGGAGGTAATACCCTACTTCCTGCTTGATTGATCTTGATGATATGAGTATTACAAGAGTTGATCTACCACGAGATCAGAGAGGCTAAACCCTAGAAGCTAGCCTATGGTATGATCGTTGATGATGATCGTGAGTCCTATGGACTAAACCCTCCGGTTTATATAGACACCGGAGGGGGCTAGGGTTACACAGAGTCGGTTTATAGAGGAGGAGATCTACATCCGGATCGCCAAGCTTGCCTTCCACGCCAAGGAGAGTCCCATCCGGACACGGGACGAAGTCTTCTGTCTTGTATCTTCATAGTCCAACAGTCCGGCCAAAGTATATAGTCCGGCAGTCCGGATACCCCCTTATCCAGGACTCCCTCAACGACCAGTCTGGCCACCTGGCTGCCACTTGTCGCGCCACCTGGCTGCTACTTGTCGCGTTGTGATAGGCCGGGGACCAAATCATCACATCCAATGCAAATTGGGGTAGGGTGAAGTTGCATTTTGCAAATTTGAAACTAAATCATCACATTTCATGCAAGTTGGGTTGAAACTATATCATCACATTTCATGCAAGTTGGGGTACCTGACTGAACTGTCTGGTTCTTTTGAACTGAACCTACATGAACATATCTTCCTACGTTCTTCCTGGCTTGCAGGTTTCACCTTGTTTTCTTTTGACTTAGCACAACTTTATATATACGCTTCCTGGTACACAAATGAATCTATTTGTGTAAGCGGCTCCAACGCGCCACTATGTCATTCCATATTACTTTCCCACGCAGGCTATCCCTAACAATGTTCGTGAGTAGGTCAACCCAAAGGTCTGAAGACATGGCTATACAGCAAACCATATCGAGTGCAAAATGGGACATCAACATTTACAAAAAGCTCAGCTGACTGCGGAATAAGTTTGCGCAAGTAACATCGCCATACAAAATAAACCTCGATCTGGCCCATCCTTCTAAAAGCACGAAACGTAAAATGTGCTTACAAGGATAGTGCTGCTAACTTCTACGCTCTAACTGCAGCCCGTGCGCCCCGTCGAAACTGACAACAGCTTGTCCTTCAGAAGATGGGAGGGGAAGGGGGACTTGCAGGCCCCGATGTGGGATTTGAGCTTGGGAATATTTGGGTGGGCGCTCCTGCATCTGTGGCACCTTAGCTCCATTGCGAGAAGCTTCTCATCAGGGTTGATAGTCGCAGATCCATGCTGGTCAACGTCGTCCATGACATCAACAGAATCAAGGAAAAATGCACTGGTGAAGGAGTTCCAGTGCTTCTTGTTTTTCAAGCTGGGTGAGTTGAAATCCTGGCTTATGACATGGAGGTGCAACTGCCGCATGGACGGAACCTGCAGAAACCAAGACAGATAAGATCGCTCTTGCTCATGCCATCCATCACAAAGTTTAGAGACCAGTTGGAAATAAATAGTTAAACACTGGGTTATAGCAGTACCGAATGATATCCAAGCCTGAACGTCAGAGATGCGTCTTCCTCTAGGAACTTATGTGCCCACTTCAGCCCAGCTGAATGCAAACTCCTAAGCAGTGGTAAGTGCACTTTCTTGACATCTGCTAGAGAATCAAGACCATCTGTCCTAGATATCACCAACACATGCCTTTTGGCCTGCATATATAAACAGCTTAGCTGAGATGTCAAGAAGAGCACTAGGAATGAAGGAGAAAGGGTATATATTTAAGTTCAGAATACCTTGGGATAGAGGTCCTTCAGAACAACAAATTCATCAGATATCTCAAGGATAGAATCCGCGTTCTTATATTTTTCTGGGTGCATGGCAACCTCATAAAGGGATTGTGCCCAGGATCCCCAAGTCTTGTTGGTGACCCCACCATTCTTCTTGTTGTCTTCCTCTCTTGCTTGGTTTGGAGCATCAGATGAACCCATGGAGTTATCATGATAACTTAGTGTGTTGGTCCCTTTGCGCTCATGGTGTTGACTTGAAGTCAAAATAGATGGAAGCAACTTACACTTTTTGGTCCTTTCAGAATCATCGATGCCCTCTCGCTTCGTTTTTGAATCATTAGGTGAAATCACTCCAGATGCTGACTTCCTTGATGAAGTTTCATCATTCTGCTTCCCTGGGTAGCTCCGAGCAATGGATGCAAAGTTCTCAAAAACTGAATTATATGCCTCACGAAGAACGTTACACCCTTTGGTATAGTCATTCTTCAGACAATCTGGACGCATTGGGTTCATATTTGGTCCGAGCACATGTATGACATGGGTCACCCCTTCCTGTTGATGCAGAGGGGAAGTTGATGGAAGTGGAACAGCAACAGAGTTACCAGGTCTCAACGTGTCAGCACATTCCTTGGTTGCATGCTGTAAAGCTTCTCCAGCAGCATTAAATATAGCTGCATTAACCCCTCCACCTCCAGGTTTTAACCTCCTGCATGAAACACTTACAGATATTATCTCGAGGGCCATGATAGAGGAGGGTCCTAACAATTTTTGCTTGCGATAGACAAAAACAAAAGGTCCAGTTTGACTCCCAACAAGGATAAAGCAGGATTCAAGTACTCAACATATACTTACAAAAAATAACCTGAAAGTATATCTGCATTTGATAGGACCTGCACATCGTAAGAATTGAAAGTGACAAAAATAATTACCAGTTGGCAGCATTAGCAATGACGTTGCATTGAAGACCTCCTTTGGAGTGCAACTGAGTGATGTCTCCCACAAATGTGAAAAATCTGCTGGAGTCAAAGCTCTTCTTAGCAGCCTTGTCCTTGACTAATGACAATATTCTTGATTTTTGGCTCAAGTCAACAAGAACTAGTCTTACATTATCATGCTTCTGCACGAAATCAGTAGCTGCATCTACTATAACCTCAGATGCTTTCTCAAGATCGAACTGGAAGTCGGCAGTAGAAATCGATGGAAATGCCAGAGTGCACAAACTGGTGTCAGAAGAAACCCTTTCCTTACTTTGTTCTCCTTTTTCCTTCAGGTTATCCAACTTCTTTTCTACTTGCATTGAACAGGCGCCACCAGCTTCAAGGTTCTCCTGTTTCAACGTTGTATTTTGCTGCCCTGTCTTTCTTTCACTTGATGTAACCATAGTTCCACTGGACTTGTTGACGCTAGAAGTATCTGCCTTCTTGAGAAATTTCATTATACCAGTTTGTACGGGCCCTTTGCTCTTCTGACCAAATACTCCTGAAGCAAGACTATGTGAAGGCCCTAAAGCACTATACATGTCAACTGCCTTCTTAATGTCATCGTCATCCGTACAGAACGTGATCCGACTGAAACCTTCAGTCAGCAAGGGTGCCTGTTTGTTCTTCAACATGCGGTTCACAACCATGGCAGCCATTCCGCCCTGCACATTTCCTTCGTGGCTAGTCCGGCTAACTGAGCGTGAGATGCAAACCTTTGCAGGAAGATCCAAGAAAACAGCATGCACATCCGCTTGTACCGTGCAGCCAAGCTTCACAAAATCAGAGCGCTGCTCTCGTTCCAAGTTGCATCGGTCAATGAGAACACTCTTTCCCTCCTTCAAAGCGTCCGCTGCGGCCTTCAAGCACTGTATTTTGGTTCCAGCTTTGCCCTTTCCAATTGTATCCTAGAAAACAATAAAGACCCACACAGAATCCTGTCACAATTGCTGTAGTTTTGGTCGACGACATGGTTATTAACATTCAAGCCAAGTAAAAATTGCACTGCCTGAATCACCCAACTTACTCATGGAATAAGATTTCGGTGTTTTAACTTTGAGATGTTATCCGGTGCTACCATGAGACTGAAACTACGGTTTCAAAGTAGTGATCCATTAAAAAATTATGCAAAATATAGGCAATTTCAAAGCCCAATCAGATGAGCCCGCATTAGGCATTACGGAATGCTTGTCTAGAGACATCAAATTCACAACTGAGACGGAAAGCAATGGCACCAACGCTGAGCAAATTATCACGTAGAGAGAATGGAGCGCGTGGGGCGCACCTGGCAGACGCGGGCCCATGGGCGGCCAGCAGCGGCGGCACCGGCCATGACGGCCTCGGCGAACGTGGACTTGCCGCTGCCCGGGGGGCCGACGAGAATCACCACCACCTGCTTCCCGGCGTCCTCCCTCGTGTCCGCGTCCGCGCCTGCACGGAATGGTTAGAGACAGCGGCGCGCTAGGGTTTTAGCGTCGACGGGTGGCACTGGTTCGATCGATTAGACGAGGAAAAGGGGCAAAAATCACCTGGGGCTGCAACGGAAGTCGATGGAGCGGCAGGGGAACCGCCTTCGCCGGGATCCATTCCCGCAGAAACTCCAAAGGAGAGGGACCGGGGGCCTCTCGCCGGCGGCTAATCGGCTATGGCGGAAGTGGGGGGAGAAGAGGGGATGGGTGGGGGCCGACGTGCAAACGGTCTGGGGTCTGGCTGTCAGCGCCTCCATAAGAGCTAAGCTAATCAGAGCCGTTAATCGTTCAGCGTTATGTAAAAGAAGGATTGGAAAAGCAAAAATAAAAAATAGTGAGGTGTGGCTGCTGGGATTCGAGCCCAGGTCTCCACGGCCACAACGTGGAATTCTCACCACTAAACTACAGCCACTTAGATGTTCAGGGGCACACAGAAAAGTTACTTAACATCTATGAAACGTTTTCTATAATACTCCAGCAAAATCGTTGGGTTTAATCCTTACAAATCACGGTGTATTCCTGTGCTCAAAATCTGCCTCATCATTACGATAGACGGCATTATTTTTACAGAACCACGCAGAGAAAGCCAAACAGGCTTGATTAATCAGTACTCGTTGAAATGTATGGCGCCGAGCTTCCACACGAGGTACGTGGTCCCGAACATGACGGTGGTGATGATCCCGAAGGACGCGGCGACGATGAGCACGTCCGTGCCCACGGGCAGCGCCGCCAGCCAGTCGAACGTCCACCCGTCCTTGGGCATGCCGCGCTTGGTGTCGTCCAGCAGGTTGCTCGGCGCCTCCGGCAGCCCCGACCGCTTCCGCCCGCCCTTCTTCCCGCCGTCCGTCTCCCGCAGCGCGTCCAGCACCCGGCTCCCGAACTCCGGCTTGGACGATGAAGAGCCCTTCTTGTCCGCCGGCGACGCCCCGCCCCCTGGCTCCGCGTACTTGCCCAGCACGCGCGCCGCGCGCAGCCGCTCCCGCGCCGTCAGCGGCACCCGCTTCGGCGGTTCGCCCGGCTGCGGCTGCTGGCCGTTGCCGGACGCCACCGGGTTCACGCCAGCGCTGATGGTTGTACTTTCCTGCGCCTCCGCCGGCGCCGCCCGGTCGTTGTCCGTGGTCGCGCAGGGTCTTGCGTGCTTGAGCTCATTCTGAGGCCTTTGCGGGGCGGCAGCGGTTCCTATCTTGTGGAAAGCATGCCTGGAGCAGAAGGCGAGCTGGGTGTAGGACGGGGAAGATCTGGAGATGCCTCCTAGCTGTTGTACATACACATCCGGTTGCGCCAAGAACCAAAGATTCAGTAAGCTAATTATCTCATTTCGCCAACAATTTTTGCTGTGATTCTAGATAGTCCAACAACTAGCTGGGAACTTGTCAAGATAATTCAAGATACGAACTGAACTGAGCAGCAGAATTTCAATCTTTTCGTGCACTAAACTCGTTACAACAAGAAGCATGGCCGGCATAACTTTGGCTATAATTTAAAAAAAAAATTGAAGCAGAGAATTCAAACGACGACACGATTCCTAGCAGCTTGAGGAGTGAAAAAGGATGGGAAGGAAGAAGATGAAGCGGGAGCTTACTTTGGCAGTGGCAGTCTTGGAGGGAGAGGAACCGAGGCTGGTGGCAGCCATCTTCTTCTCACCTGCTCGGCCACTGCATTTTGTGCTCTAGGCCAGAAGAGATAGAATTTGTGAGGCCATCCCGTAGGGGACGACTGCTTACATCAGGCAGCTTGTTGGGCCGGGCCGATTTGTTGGTGCTAACGGTACGCTGTAGTAGTATTGTAGTGAACACGGTCCACACCTATGGCCACAGGAAGTTCTCAAAAAATAAAAAAACTATGGCCACAGGATGTTGTACTGAACTACTGACAAAGCCAGAGAAATTTCCCTAAAATAAAGAAGCCAGAGAACTATGCACATGTATACATAGTAACATGTCAGTATGTATTCCCGTAACCCAGTCCACAAATCTGAGTCGACAGTTTACATTTTACTCTCTTGATTGATTCAACTATGTACAGGCCCTCTCAGATCACACACTACATCCCCTAAAGACTAAATTACTTGCAACCGTTTCGAGAAAACAATGCTTGCGAGTTGCAACCCTAGCCTTCTTCTACCTAAGAACTGGCTTCTCTCCAGTTGCCGACAACTGCACATCTCCATTCAGGACGGAAACCACAAACCTTTCAGCTTCTTCCATTGACACCTCACCCTTATACACAGCGAACCTCCCCCGGCGAGGCTTGTACGCGATAAGGAGCTTATCGGACGACTTGTATCCGGACTTGTCGAACGAGGACAGGAACGCAGATTGTTTGTTGCCGTCCAACAAGGCGTAGGTGATTGCGTTTCCAGAGTTGTAGCTCTGACCCCTGATCAGAGTCTTCTGAGATATCTGGATGCAGAAAACACAAGGCGACAAGACATGCGTTAGAAGCTACTCCCTCCGTTCGGAATTACTTGTCGTGAAAATGGATGTATCTAGAACTAAAATATGTCTAGATACATCCATTTCTGCGACAAGTAATTCCGAACAGAGGGAGTAGATAATGTGGCTAGGCAGGAAGAACAAGCAGTTTGATGCTTCCGCATATCGTCAAATTGGCTTTAAGGGGGAAACAAACCTCAGACAGGATGCTCTCCAGCTTTTCCTTGGCTTTGTTGGACTTGAAAACACCAATGATGCATACTGGAGCCTTCTCTCCACAGGTTTCCTCGAAATTTGAGGCGGTGAGGAGAGGGATTTTGTTTTCCTTCGGTTCACTTGCCTTGGCAGGTTTCTTAGCCTGTTCCGATGCTAGCTTCTTGTTCTTCTTCTCAAAACTTTCTAGCAGAGTCTTCAATTCCTTGATACCAGATTGGAGATCTTTCACTGAAATACCATCCTTCAGAAGTTGCACCTCACCGTTAACCGTTCGACCAACAAGCGCTGGAACATTCTTCACGCCAAGGCGTTTGAGCAGTGGAAGGGAAACATCCTGAACCTTAACAAGGAAAACAAAAAGTTCATAGTAAATTAATACTCCTGGTCCTTAATTGTTAAGTAATTGTTAGCTGGCATGGCTAATCTAGCAAATGTTACTGTAAGATCAAAGATACAACACAGCTATCACTGGCCTCTTTCGGTGCAAGAAATCTCTGTCATGCCTCAATGTAGAATTAATCCCTATAACCATTGCTTAAAAAAACAGACTATCTATAAAGCACGATGCCAGTACAGCAAGTTATGTACCAAGCCTACACACGAAAAGCGGATGACCAGCGCCAGTGCTGACCTAATTTTCTCAAGCAAAGAAGTGATGACAAGGTACAATTCTTACCTCTGCATCATAGAATATCAAACGACTGTGGAACATCCCACTGACTGCTCGCCACATCGCTGGTGTATCCTTCTTTGTTGACAGCAAAAGCACTTCAGGAAGGTTTGGCAAGGCACTGGAAGGGAAATTGAATTGGGTAATGTCAACCCGTCTGGAGAATCTCGGCAGGTGTTCTTGACAGAATGTCTTCAGGCTCTTAGCATCACTATCTCCAGAGTACTCATGCAAAGACCCTTTCTCTGCAGTGCTGTACGAATAAATGAAGAGACGAGCGGATTTTCCTACTGAAACCCCGTTTTTCTTGCAAAGGGCCTTTTCATTATCACAATTTACCTTGCCAGCCTGCATCAACAGAATCACTGTATAAACTTTTCTTGCTCTATGTTAACTGCGAAGGACCAGCATTACATAAATTTAATCAGCTTACCCTCACTGCACCATCCAACGAACGAGCCACATCCTCCAGAACACTTTCAAGCACAAATTGACCTTTTGCTTGTTGTGTATAGAATAGCAGAAGCCAAGTTATTCCTTGGTCAGCTATTTCTTTGTTGAATGTTTGCATCGTAACCTCCTGAATGGTGACAGGGTTTTTATGCTGACTGGAAGTTCTCGCGCTGGGTCTACCAGAACCAGCAAATCCACCATGCTGGCTACCACCCATTGATCCACCAGCAAACATGTTGGAGAAAACATCACCAAGATCAAAGCCAAACGGATTTCCTCCGCCAGCCCCAGGGTTGCCACCAAACGAGAAGGAGAATGTTTTTGAATTTCCCTGACCACCCATTGTCTGCCATCCATCACCGGATGAGAAATAGGTAGTCCTGGGGCCACCACCAGTGAAGTCATGGCTCCCAAAATTTCCAGCACCCATACCTGGGTTACCCTTCTCATCACCGTAGAGATCATAGTTTTTCCTCTTCTCTTCATCTGACAAAATTTCATGCGCTGCAAACGTGACACGAATGCACATTAGAAAATTCAGAGTCACAGTAAAGGATGCACTCATAGTTCGATTTATCGCCTCTTTTTAACCACAGAACGAAAAACAATTCACTAACAGGAGTTACAGAATCCTTGGTGGACTGATAAATCAATTGCAAAGAGAGCAAAGGTAAATAAACACAGACAAGAACATGAATTGCTGCAAAATTTCGTACACCCTGAAAAGATCAAGGGGCAACATGCATCACTGTCTAAACCATCTCCTGGAGATCTGGCTTGTAAACTACCAGGATGATGGAGTTGGAGTCTGTTGGCTTTGTGGGTTATTGGTAGTTTAGCCGAAATAGCCCCTTGTGATCTTTTGGGGTTGATGGGTGTATCTCATCTTGCTCCTTTAGGTCATGTGTCGTCGTTTTCTATTTTTGTTTAGTTCTAATAGCTGTAACTAAGACAATGTGGTTTCTCTTAATAGAAATTAGAGAGAGAGCTCTGTGTATGGAAAAAAAAACATGCATCACTCAAAGTGTGCCTGGAGATAACTGAAATAAGCCTGCCACGGGTAAGAGTTAACGCATTTCAAACCCAAGAAAAATCAACGCAGGGTCTTTAACCAACATGAAAATATGGAGAAGGAAGAATCGAAATTCTATATTTGGTGGAAGCTTGATTGGTGTCAATGAACTATCTCTTCAAATAAACAGTCAGTATGTCCAAAATGCCAAATGAACCGAGGCATTAATATTTAATACCAGTATTTTCTATTACAGACATAGTTGGGCGTCTTACCATTATTTATCTCTTCAAATTTCTGCTGTGCACCCTTCTCTTTATTCTTGTCAGGAT